ACTACTGCAGTCCCAAAATGCAGATGGTTCTCATTTGGCGGCCATTTGGTCTCACCGTACCACACTAAATACCAATGTCTGCATATCTCTTACTTCACACGCCTGCCATTTTCAAAACCATCAGGCATCTTGAAAATATAAGCCCAAGATGAACTTGTAAGCCCAGCTGAAACGATTAGCCCTGTCCGAGTTCTCTGAAACGATGGGATCCGTTAGCCGTGCCAGAGGTCTCTGAAGCGATGGGTCCATTAGCCGTGCCAGAGTTATCTGAAGCGATGGGGTCCATTAGCCGTGCCAGAGGTCTCTGAAGCGATTGGGTCCATTAGCCGTGCCAGAGGTCTCCGAAGCGATGGGGTCCATTAGCCGTGTCAGAGGTCTCTGAGTCGTGGCTCTGAGGCGTGTGGTGTTGATAGATTGGCCTCAGAAAGGACGACTGCCTTGCTTTGGAAGCCTAGTTTCGGTGAACTGTAGGAAAACCGGCCTGTGTTCCGTAAAAGTCTGCCCCTGTCACGACTGAGTGCACCGCGATGCTTTAATAGCAGCCGCAAATGCTGGGGTTTTTGCTGAGCACTGTCTCGTCCTGAATTTTTGTGATTTCGGACATTGCACCTCCGCTGGGCTGGAAGCCGGACATGTCGCTATTCTGTCACTGTCAAACCTGGTGACTTCGACCACTCGCCCTGAATGGCTTCGAATAAACGCCGCGGCGCGCGGATACCGCGTGCTCGGGAGTTCCCCACACAGCGCGTACCGCCGTCCGGGCGGGTGCGCGCGCTCCGTTGGCGCAGCCTTGGTTTTCTGGGGCTGGCCCCGACTGGGTCGGCTGGGAAACAGCCGATTGCGACACCGCGCCGGTCGGCGGTCCGGCAGCAGACTCGCCCGGCGTCGCTGGCGGCATCTGCCGCGCCGAGATGTTCGGCCGAGCTGAAGCGCGCCGCCGTTCAGCTGGCGACGAAGCGGCCCAAGGCTGCGCACTGCAGAGGCCTGGTGGCAGCAGCGCGCCGCGGTGTTTGTTGCCGGCATGCGGCCTGGTTCCAAGGTGACCTCCAGGCTCGGCGGCCGCCGCCGCCCGCAACGTCTGTGCGGCAAACGCTGAGGGAACGGTGGCGGGCGAACAAAAAACGCGCCAATGCCCGGCAGCTGACGTCACAGCGGCTCTGGCGATGCCGCCGAATAACGGAATACGAGACTGGCTGGGAGAATTGGGCTGTCCAGCTGTTGATGCCCGATGGCTGTGCCCAGCACCCAATGGCTGCCAAGAGAAAGGAAAGTTCACAAAGCACGGGAGGGAGGAAGCGGCAAATCTTGGCGCCGCCTGGAGACTGGCGGAAGTAAAGAGGATGGCCTGATTACTGAGAAGTACCCTGTTGGCAGCATGCTCTCCGTTTGGTCTCCAGAGTGGCTCTGCCCCCAGACCTTTTGTGACTGGCTGATGGAGGTTCAGTGCTGGCCGTGTTGCTGTCGGTATCCGATTCGGAATGCGATCTACGTCTGTTACATAGGACTCGTTGGCCTCCAGCGCACTGGACGGTGACGGTCACAGCCACGTTGTCGTAGCAGGCCCTAGTGAGCCGGCGTAGTCACACGGACCCGCGCCACCCGTGGACGGGACTTATCATTGTCTGACTCCGAAGGCAGGAGTTGGTAGCTTCTGCTCAGAATGGATCGCAGGTCAGCCGTGCTGTACCTCTGTTATGAGAGCATGCTGTATGAGAGGTCTGAGACAGAGCTTGTGGCGAATTACGCGGTATTTGAAGCCGTCCACTTGTCGTTATTTTCGTTGCTTGGGCTTGAAGTAAACAAATCGTCTGCATGACGTCCTACACAGCAACTCGATCGCCGCTTCTCGGCGCCGTGAGTGCGAGTGCTTGAAGTCGGGCTACCCCCGGGATCTGCCCTTAGAGTGTTCTGTTATCTGATGACTGATTTCGTCACAGTTCTCGTTACCAAGCCCGCCTGATCTCGGAAACCCGTCTGGCGGCCTTCACCTCAACCTCCCGCCGTTCGCAAGGCCCGCTTTCCCTTTCGCGGACCGCGCCGCCCCTCTCTCCCGACGCTGAGCGGCGGTGGTGCGCGAGGCTGCCGACCGCCTCGGGCTGCTCGGCTGCGGCCGGCCGGTGCCCTCCCGCCGCGCCGCGCCGCGAACGCCGCCGGGACCGGCTTACACCGGCCGCGGGTGACTGGCGACGGCCGCGCCGAGACGGCTGCGGGCGGTCACGACGCGGTGGGAAGGGCCGGTCGAGTCGACCACCCGGCTCGCCCGCGCCGCCGACTCCGGCGCCGTCTCCTGCCGGAGCCAGGCCCAGACCGAACCGGCCCGGCCCGTGGGCGCGTTATCCCGTCCACACGGACGGCGGAGAAAGGTTTGGTGTCTGCCGCTCGACAACCGTGCATCCGCATGCATTCAAGTAGTTAGGTCACTCGATGCGCTAGGAGATGTGACATCACCAGGGCACCCGTCACACGGGGGGAAACACCGGCAGCACTCTTTCAGCAACGTCACTCTGTTTCTGGCCGCTGACCAATAAGCCCAGGAAGCAGCGACCTGACCGACCCCGACTAACCCTGGCTTCCAGGAATCGGCGCGTTGCGGGCCAGTTTTCCCCAGGCCCCCCGCCGCGGCCGGCTCCGTACTGGCGCACAGCTGCTCGTGCGTAACCCTCCCCCTCTCCAGTGCCGGCTATTTATAGCACTCTCCATACATCGAGGCAAGCGCTATAAATAACCGGCCGGGAGCAAAACAGCCCCGGCGAAGGGTAGTATCCTGGTAAATCAATGGCGCTGCTGACCTGCGGTCAGTAGCCCGTCGCCGCGCCAGCGAGCGTCCCCAGCTCGGCGGCCCGCGGCGCCGCCCAAACGCTGCCACCGGCTCGTGGACGATGTGGCGGCCAAACGTGGCGCGGGCCGGTCCGGGCCGCTGGGTCACGGCCGCTGCGCCCGTGCGTGTGCGTGCGTCCCGCTATATAGGCCAGGGTCGGCGCCGTGTGCCGGCCGCGGCCGCGGGCACCGGCCGCCCGCAGCTCCAACTCACGCGCAGCCGCTGAGTCAGCGCGCTTCCTCGCTGGGAACACTTCCAAGGATCCCGGCCGGCGCGCGCTCCAGGCTCGCTACACAGAACCGCACACGGCGGGCGAGGTAGGCGGAGGTCAAGTGTGCGGAGGGAAGGGGAAGTGGAGGCGTCAAGCACACGGGGTAAAATGTTTCGCTGTTTTAAAGTCTCAGGCTGCTTCAGGTTGTCACCTCGTCGTCCCAATTTGACCCACCCCCCCAAGTTTTTTCAGAATGATTTCCAAACGGCGCGGCGTAGTCGCGCCAAACTCTGCATAGCCGTAAGCAATCGAACAGCGGATCGTTTGGTATAAAAAGCAGGCATACTTTGTGAGATTGCTAACCTATGGCAGGTCAAAGTCAGGTCGTGGCTGTCAGCGAAAGCCATTACTAAGGAATCGTTCAATCTAATGCAACAACGGGGTTTTCGACGAAGTCATGCATCTCTGAGATAGGTTCTTTGGCAATGAAGCAATTTAATCTAGAATTGTGGCAAATTCCATTGACCTAGAGTCAGGTGTATAGGTTAAACTGAGGTCAAAACCTACTTTTTACGTGGGAGCTTTCTTTGTTTGGTAGATTCTAGTGCCTATTTCGAATGTATAGAAAAGGGCCGTAACAGACATATTCCATAAGCTTCTTGAAGGTCCGAGTAGGTCACTGGCCTACAATGACCCTGTTCAACATTTTGTTTGAAAGAATATACCGCCTGGCGTGGTCCTTAACGCTTATTCAGATAAAATAGATGCAGTTTCATAGGCTTTTTATCATCTTGACCTTCTAAAGATAGAAGATCACTAACCTTAAAGGAAAACCAGCGACATTTTGATAAGAACAGCTATCTGCGTCCAAAGCGGTTACATGAAGAGGTCTGGGGGTACTTCGGACACCAAACATGGGCTGACCTTGTTTGACCTCACTCGATCCCAGGGTCATGTTTTAGAAACATCAAATTTTGACAAGTGAGTTCACATGCAGGCCATCCCACCCTGTGGATTTGGTGCATCTAGCGTTTTTCCTTTTCGAGATCACAGGGGTCAAGTTGACCACCACCCGAGCAAAGGGCAATTCAAGCAGCCACCCGGGCGCGTGGAAACTTCGGGATGCGTTACGTTCAGTTGCCATCAAGCAGAAAAGGCAGACAAGTGTGCTAAAGACGGGTGTCGCCGTCAAAGCCATGCCTGTCATAGCCTTTTTGATTGTGTGCGCCGATGGGCGCTGTATGACCGTGTAGTCGATCGCCGCAGAGCCTAAATAATATGAGCATAAATAAATAATACTATAATACAATGCTCAAATACCCAACCGACAGCGTGCGCCCCGTAGGAAATAAGATATGTGATGTTTACAAGTGAAATCGCAGCCCTTTCAATACGCGCCGCCTACCTGCAGAATCTCCTGTAGCCAATACCCGCGTGGTGAAAGTTTAGCCCATAGCACCACACAGCACCATACTTCACACTCCCATAATGCAGGATGAGCCTTCCTCGCCGACAAACTCTACAATGTGTACAAAGCGTCCAGATGATATCGTTTTCATCGGCTCTCTGAATTGTTGTAACGTCACACTGCCACAAACAACAATACCCTTTTGACATCCGCCTGTTAAAATTGTCATGGACGTTTTTGCGTATCACGTTCAATTATTGTCGAAAAGAGACAACATCCCTGATCCCTATCATGACCTCAATCTTACGTGGGCTTTCAGCATCTCTGAAAATGGCACCATGGTCCTGGAAACAAAATAATATCACCTGGTGACGGGTACATCCTCGGTCGCCATCATCATCGTATTTACATCCTGCTCGAACGGAGCATGCATCGAGCACAACGTTTCACAAATGTCGCCCCAGTTGGAGTGGTTTGCTGTGACCACGCTTCGGCTTGCAGCGGTCGGGTCAACAGATGGGGAAGGCGTGGCGCCGCCGGTACTGACGCGGCGCGTGTTTCAGGCGAACTGCGCCCGGTTGTGTCCGCCTCGTCGGCGTTCGACTGGGCCGAGGCGCTCGACTGGACGCGACCCGGCGCCGTGCTGCAGTGGCGCCAACAGACGGAGGGCGTCGAGGCCGTCAGCCGCCGCCTGCAGGACGCCCGGGTCGACGACGAGGCCGACGAGCCGGTCACCGACGAGGACGAGTCGCGCTGCGAGTCGGCGGCGGCGCGGCAGTCGGCCGAGTCGGCCGAGCCGCCCCCGGCGTCGGCCGCGCCACCCAGCGACGACCCTATCGACCTCTCGTTCGGCGCCCACCCGCTCAGCTGCTTCCCGTCGCTGGCGGCGCCGGCGCGCGCGCGGCTCTCGGTGATCACGCACACGCCAACCTTACCGAAAAAGCGACCCTTCTACAGGCGCAACCTGTTGCCTGGGGGCCGGCTCCAGCTGAGCGGACCATCGCCGGCGCGCTGCGTCGACCTGCGCGTGCCGCGCGCCGGCCTGGCGCCCGTGCAGACGCCGCTCGGCTCGGGCGCCAACCCGTTGTCGCCGACACCAGGCTCGCCGTACCGCGCTGGCGGAGGCACCGGCGGCGGTGGCCGCGGACCAGGCGGGCAGCCCGGCGGCGCCGGCTTCGGGCCGCCCGGCTTCGGCGGCCTCTTCGGGCCCGGCGCCAACGGCTTCGGCTTCGGCCTGATGGGCTGCAAGGCGCCGCACCCGGGAGGCGGCGGCGAGCGCGGCCGCTACTCGCCACGCCACTTTCCGCCGCAGCAGCAAGTCGGTGTGGACAACTTCCTGGGGAGCTACATCGACCAGCAGGTGGAGGGCTGCAAGCCGCCGCCGCAGCCGCCGCCAGCGCAGCCATGGCCGGCGCACGCGGCCGGCGGCGCCGGCGCGCGGCTCGCACCCATGCCTTACGCCTTCAACGCCGACCCGCTCGGCTTCTGCGACCCGTACGAGATTGAGGCCGAGCTGTTCGGTGATTCGAAACCGGCAGTGTCGGCGGCCCCACTGGCGGACGGCAGCCACGACCTGTTCGGGCTGGAGCAGCTGCTTCAGCCGACCGGCACGGCTGCCGAGCTGTCACACCAGACGGTGGTCGAGGCGCTAGGCGACTCGGCTTCGCTCCCGGCTCTCTCCGAGCCGGTCGTCTCCTCATGCCTGGCCGACGCGCTCTACGATGGCAAGTTCGTGGTGACGGGTCTGCACTCGGGACTGCCGCCGCCGCCGCCGCCGGCCGCGCAGCCGGCACAGCAGCCCGAGTCGTCGACGGGGCCAGCGTGCCGCTCGCCCGGGCCGATCCGCGCCGGCCGCAGCTCACCCCGCTCGCCGCGCTCCGTCGGCGGCGACGCCGGCGCCGACGGCTCGGTCAGTCTGGACGTGCGCGTCGGTCAGCTCCACCAGCGGGTGAGTGGGAGGCGAGGGGGCGAGGTCGGGTCGGGTCGGGTCGGGTCGGGTCGGGTCGGGTCGGGTCGGGTCGGCCGAAGGTCTGGGAGGTGGAGTGAAGGTGATTGCCTACCGACGTAGTGGTGCCCTCAGGACTTCCACGGTATGAAAGCGGATGGGGACCTGAAGCATCGATCCCATCGAAAACTGCCTTGTGTTATACTGCGGAACGGTCGATTTCAATCCAGCTCACACCGTGGCTTTACCTCAGCCAGCATCGGTCATCACGAGACCCCAGTGATGGCCGATCCCGGACGCAGCTGCTTCGGGCGCGCCGAACAGGACGTCTGTAGCGCCTGTGATGTAATCTGTTGATTCATGGCAATAACACGGCACTGCACGCCCGACCAGTTCAAATAATTGCCGATTTTGCAACTGTCTGCAGCGTTGCATGAAGCTTTCAATCGTAACGGTCCATTGGGGGCCACTTTCCGTTTTGCCGTTGAAAACGGATTATCACTGACGGTAATCGAGATTTAGTGGTGCATTGAGACGCCTCGGCGCGGCAGCCGAGATTCGGATGTGCCGTGTGGTGGCGACATGTGCATACTGGTTACCATACGGACTCAACATTGGTTTGCCTTCGATAAAAGTTGGAACGTCGGTGTCAAATTTTGACAGTCGCCGAAGGCTTTTAATGCGGCTACGGTTGAAAGTGTGTGCTTTGCCACAGACATATAGGAACAAATTTATATTCTCATCATGAAGGTACAACGCAAAAGGGGCGACTCAGCGGGCATCTAGAGATTGTACGGCATTGTACAAATCAGTCTCAGTTTGAGCAAAACTGGCATTTGGTACCACTTTGGTACCAAATTAGACGGTGGTGAGAGGAATAAAGTTACAATAATAGTTGTGTGGGTTTTGGTATCTGCTCTCCACCGTTTCGACACCGTACTACTAAGCACTAAGCGAAAAACAATGATGTTGCTGAGTGCATTGTCTTGACACACAACGCTATCGGGTTAGCGCCGAGGCACAATGGTTCAGACTGTTTCCAGTGGAGTACCGCCACGTCACGGTCTGTTGCTGACAAAACAACTTCAGGGGCGTGTCTTTCTTCGGCCATTTTGGATGACACAATTGCCAAGGGCCCAACAACGCATCCGGAACAACTTGCAGACATTAGATACCTGAAAGAGAGCATTCATGTAAGAAAACACATCTGCGTAACCCTCCGATCTGCTAGCGGAACTTTCTCATCGGCCCAATGTTTAAGCCGTGCTCACTAACAGCTTGCTGAGAGGTTATGAGGAGGTTATGAGGAGGCTATGATGTTATGAGGAGGTTATGAGGGGGTTATGAAGAGGCTATGAGGAGGTTATGAGGGGGTTATGAGGAGGTTATGAGGGGGTTATGAGGGGGTTATGAAGAGGTTATGAGGAGGCTATGAGGAGGTTATGCCCTGGTTTCGTGTCACGAGTTCGAGGCTTGTTTGGCGCGCTCCACGACTGACGCCGGGTGCAGTGATGACGGCCGGGGCTGACTGGCTCGGGGCGGGTCGCGCCACCCGGCCATGAGGCGCCGGCCGAGTCCGGCGGCCCCGCGACGCCGTTACAGCGACCGCCGGTCGGCCGCCGAGGGGCGCCGACCTTGTGCGCGGCTGACGGCCGTGTCAGCGCAGCCATTACGCCGAGACCGGCGGCGGCCGCCGCGCTGTCAGAGTGTGGGACCGGAAGGCGGCGGCGCGCGGCCCTGTGATCGCCGCCACGGCAGCCTCACGGCCGCCCGGCGCCGCCGCCGGCTCACGGATCCCGGCGCCGCCGCCGGCTTACGGATCCCGGCGCCGCCGCCGGCTTACGGATCCTGGCGCCGCTGCCGGCTTACGGATTCCGGCGCCGCCACCGGCTTACGGATCCCGGCGCCGCCGCCGGCTTACGGAGCCTGGCGCCGCTGCCGGCTTACGGAGCCCCGGGTCACGCCATCACGCAGGGGGGCATCTGGGCGGGACGGCATCTGCTCTGATCACCACACGGCCCGACGAGAGTTGCAGCACGGATATTACACATGCTTACCACATTTACGAGGATAGTATTGTATTCTTTTAATGTATTTGAATCAGGAGCCAAAAATTTCCTCCTGTCCGCAGCTTGGTCTCCCCGAGACGCACGCCTTCGAGTTCGTGAACGGCGGCCACGGCATAAAGAACCCGCACGCCAGCGAGCGTGCCCTCGAAGTGGAAAAACTGCCGCCCATCAGTGAGTTTTACAGCATGTGCCGGCGAACAGATGCTATGACGGCGGGCAGGTGAACGGCCGCTGGGGACCCAGACGGGCGGCCGCTTCCGGACCGCTCCCGTGGCTACACTGGTCGGCCGGCCACGAGCCGCCGCCGATAACGGCCTGGCACCGCACCTGGCTCGTGCCGCATCCCGGGCCAGCCAGCTGCCGGCACAGCAAGCAGGCTGTAGTACCAAATCAGCGTCTCTGATGGCTCCGTGAAATGACTTCTTCTCATTTCGTTCTGGAGCGAATCGTTTGCATGGTTACGCACTGCTGCTTTCCATGTTGTGTGGCGATACACTCGCGTGGCGTGCGAGATCCCCATTAATTGGCACACCGCTCGCACGACTCGGCCATTTCCATTTCCGGCGCCCAGATAGCTGCGTTTCACAGAGTCGTTTCGGTGAGTGCACCGTGTAATCATTATGGTCCCGCTATCCTTTTCCTTTCGTGCGTGGAATCCCGTCTTGTGTTATAGCGCGGCCTGTAATCAGAACCCATACTGCTGGCCCGTGCGGTTTGGAGGCGCACGCGTGCTGCCCATCCTCAGCTCACCTGTGCCCCCCCCCCCCCCCGCTGCAGTCTGCGAGGAGGACCCCAAGACGTACATGTGCCGGCTCTGCTCCAAGAAGTTCAACCTGCTGCGACTGCTGAACCGGCACATGAAGTGCCACTCGGACGTCAAGCGCTACCTCTGCACCTTCTGCTGCAAGGGCTTCAACGACACGTTCGACCTGAAGCGACACACGCGCACCCACACGGGTACGTGCCGGCGCCGGGGGCCGTCACCTCTCTTGAGTCGATCCTCCCCTCACTGAGCTGTCAGGGTGGACCTGGTCAGTGGACCTGGATCCAGGACAGCGAGACGGTGGGTCCAGTGGGTCCAGGACAGCGAGACGGTGGGGAAGCTTTGGTCCAGCTGCTGCTGACGCTGGGTCACGCTCGGTCCGTCCCCAACTGTCCACTGTTCCCCGACGAGTGGCGGGGTTTGTCGCGTCTGACCTTGACCGAGCGCCCCGTCCTGCCCGCAGGCGTCCGGCCCTACCGCTGCATGCTCTGCGAGAAGTCGTTCACGCAGCGCTGCTCTCTGGAGTCGCACTGCCTGAAGGTGCACGGCGTGCAACACCAGTACAACTACAAGGAGCGGCGCAACAAGATGTACGTGTGCGAGGAGTGCGGCACCACATCCATCGAGCCCGAGGCGCACTACTTCCACCTGAAGGAGCGACACCCCAACAGCCCGGCGCTGCTCAAGTTCTACGACAAGCGCCACTTCAAGTTCAACTCGAACTTCAACTCTATGATGCTGCAGTCGCGGTCGTAACTGCGGCACGGCCGCTAGAGGCGCTGGCGTCGCCCGCGGGCCGACAGCCGACGCCAAACTGAGGCTGCGCTTAGTGCGAAATGCGAGAAAACGGAAGCCGTTTTGCTCGAGACGGTAATTCACATGCGCGTTATGGGTTGGCGTATATTTTACCCGACGTTGAGTCTGAGAGAGCGCTGCTAACCCGACATAAAAAGGTGTTTATGTGACAAGGTGCTGTCAAGAGCATAGCTTTTACGCATCAAGATGAGCTACTATTCGGGAGTTTGCAGGTGATTGTAGAAATTGTCCGCCTCAACGCCAACGTAGGGCATCGAAAACGTGCTGCAGGATGGCATCCGCAAGCGGCACCAGCAGCTGGTCCGTGCCGTGCGGGCTGCGCTCTGGCCGGGGAACGCTGTCCGGCTCTGGAAAGGTGGCTTCGACCGGCTGCAGTTGACAGCTATGGGGGCATTTGTGTGCGGGCAGCGGGGATGCTGCGCGGCTGCGATGGCGATGCCCAGCTGTGCCTTCGTGTCCAGGATGACGGCCACGGACGGCCAACGCATGACGAGTATGGGATCGCGGTGAGCTGTCGTGTGCGCACTGTCGGTCAATGGCGGCCGCCCTGCACGTGGTCGGACGGTCACGGCTTCCCAGCGACGAAGGGACCACAGGAGAGCGGGTATACTTTTGAAAATGTATCAGCCCTGTGGCGTTGCATGGAAAAATACGGATGGAAGTCCGTTTCCGCCCGCCTCCCAAGCTTCCGGGGCTGGTGCGCGTTTGCGGCTGTCTGAGAAGTGAGAAGGATCGGGCAGGCGCGACTGTCCGTCGGCATGAGAGAGTGCGACGGTCTGATCTCGCGTCGCTTTCCGTCCAGAGGTGCGTCCGAGAGCGGCCGTGACCTGCCGGCCCCGCCGCCGGCGCCCCGTGCCGCGCGCAACCTCCGCTGGCCGGCCACCTGCCGCCAGAGCGGCGGCTACAAATTCCCACAGCGCAGGCAGAGTTTGAGCAGGAGTGATCCGACTGAAACAGAGGCGGCCGCAGACGAGGGGCTTGCACCTCTCACCTCACCTGACCAAGCTGTTTGTCGACGTACGTTCGCCACTGCATGTGATACAAATTCCGCGACTTAACAATAACCCAACTGCCAATGGCGTGCTCATTCCAGCGGCGGGTAGCCTCGGACGGGTCAGGCCGAGTCGGGTCGGGCCGGCGCCCGGTGATGGTGGGTCTCCCCGGAGCCGGGCAGGCGGCGGTACCGCACCGGCGGCCACGTCAGAGTACAAAGCGGGGCCTGGAGGTCGGACCGTCGCAGGCGCCGCCCGCCCGCAGCTGAGCGGGCTGCGCGTGTGGTGTCCGAACTTGGCGCGCGTGTGCGGACGTGCAGCAATAAAGCATTGGTCGCGGCGGTCTGTGTCGAGGTACTGACTTCGGGGGAGGGTTGGAGGGGAAGGGGGGAGCGATTTTGGAGGCGGAGGGGGGTGCCGGCGGGTGCGGCGCAGCTGGGCTCGAGATCGGCGCCAGTCGAGCGGCCCAACACGCGCCATGCGGCGGCGCCCCTCGAGTCGGCGATTTGCATCGGCAGCAGGCGCGTGAGATGGGCTATCGGCGGGCGGCGGGCCGGCCCGTGCCATACCCGTACCCGCCCGTCGGCCGTCACGGATGTTGGGCGGCCGGCGGCGCCGGGCCTCCCGCCCACGGCCGCACACTCGCGCACGCTCACCTCCGCTGAACACAGCGGAGTGCACGGCCGCACACTCGCGCACACTCGCCTCCGCTGAACACAGCGGCGTCCACGGCCGCACACTCGCGCACGCTTACCTCCGCTGAGCACAGCGGAGTCCACGGCCGCACACTCGCGCACGCTCACCTCCGCTGAACACAGCGGGGTCCACGGCCGCACACTCGCGCACGCTCACCTCCGCTGAACACAGCGGAGTGCACGACACTGCTCGCTCCAAAGAGGCCCTGGAGCACTGATAGAGCGGGACCTACAACGTGTAAAAAACGGCGACGAGCTCAAATGCTTGTCGTCCGTTATCGCCATGCCATGACAGCAAGTGAATCATAACGTTTGACAAGACGCGTTTCGCGAACTGGGACGAGCGACACGTAAACGGGAACAGTAGCATCATCAAGAAATAAACATAAGCGAGTGGACCCAGTTGTCCTGGAGACCTCATACAAATGGGTTGGGGCGTCACAGAAGATCGCTGATAAAAAGCGTTCGAGCGCTAATATACCGGTGACATTCCTGAAAAATCATGAGCTCACAAACTGTAAAAAACCGTCAATTTTATTCCACGAAAACAATCAAGATGACATGATTGATGCGCTCGGCGACAGTAAACAAAGCGTTTCGAAAACACTACAGCTTATGTAGTGAACATTGGTTACAACTGCTCGGAATACGCGCGCCTCTGTGGTCCCCACGATCCGAGCTCTCTCTCAAGTTCAAGAACTCTCAAGAGTTAACTTATTTTATCCCTCGGCTGCTCCTGATAAGCACATGAGAAATGAACCAGGAAAAATTCTACAGTGTCAAAGAATTTAATCACTGAACGAATTAAGGGTTAAAAAGCCTCAGGAAAGCACACAAGGTCGGACAGAACCTCACTCGTAATACATCCGACCCCACATAAAAATGCGGCTTGCGAACAAGCTGGGCGGGGGCGGAAAGCACAAGGCGCTCACAGCTGGCACGGTGACGTCAGAGGCGTGCCAGAGCCTTCGTAAGGCACGAGATGGCCTCCACCGACTTATCAGGCACGTTACACAGCCCATGAAGCTATCGGGAAACGGCAAATATCCGAGCCCATCGTGACGCGATCACGCCATAAGAGTTCCTCGAAAATAACGGCCATTCCAAATGCTGGAACTGTACAGTGTCAGCTTAGCTGATAACAGGCTGAAAACACACGTGTAATCAAAGCAACATGCCACATGCATGCAGCGATTCCCAGAAACACCACGTCTTGCAAATACCCTTCTTATCATCGGCACATGCTGGGTATGTGCCACTAAATCCCGCCTCGCGCACTGGCACCGAGATGCAGGCTGAACACGAGCCTGCAGAGGACGCCGTACGGCTCACGCGCACGGCTGGTGGACCGGGACGCGACGCTGAGCGCCACTCATCGGAGATGGGTGACAGCAGGGAACGACCTGCGGCTGTTCATCGCGTGAAGGCGATACTTCAACTCATTTTGTGAGGGGAGGGGGAGGAATTTGAGACGGGGATGTAATGTCCCTTACTGGTCCAAAAACACCGACACTGTCCTTCTCCACATCCGGGGAAGGGGATCACTGCACCTCACCACGCGCCACCGAGTGCCGCAACTGCGCAGCGTCATCTGCAGGGCCGCCGATTCCCGGAGCGGCGGGGAGCGGCGGCCACGTCTGTCCGGAGCGGAGGCCGCGTCTGGCCGCATCCCCGAGGGACGCCGGCCGGCTGGGAAGTTTGAGGCCGGGCTGTCCATCAGACGTAATCAGTCCGCCAAACAGCCGTTACAAAGTAATCAGTGTAGCCGCCCCTCCCGTCGCCCTGTGGTCGGCCGAGGCGGCTCCAGCCTGATCCCGGATAGCGTGGGCAGCACTGGCCGCATGATACCGGGCCCGACAGGCACAGCACGAGACCGGGCACTGGAGCATGCATATTGGCAGGCAACAAGACCCGTCATCATACCGCGACGCCACAGAGCCTACTCAAAACGGAGCCTGTCGATCTTCCGACACGAGCTCTGACCAATCGAGGAAGAGGTCACTAGTGAAGAGAGGCATTGGTGACCATGGGATTACACATTACTGCAGGTTTCAGCACCCAAGGCCACGCCTCAGCGGCGTTTAGGCCGTACGCTATATAAGTGCTAGGAATTAACCGTCCGTGTCAATTTTCATGCATCGCTAGAGATGCACGCATCAGCGCCCCCCCCCCCCCCAACACCTTTTTGGTTACAAATTTTGGGTGAACAGCACGAGCGCAATGCTCCCATTTCAATGACGAGGGTTACGAGCTTTCCACCCCCCTCCCCCCCCCCCCCCATCCGCCATCTCCAGCCTCGCGCACATCGAGCCGGTTTTACTGCAATATTGCGTGGTTGCAGATAGGCAATCGTCATCATAAACATACCGATCGCCGCTAAACACGTCATGCAGTTGGACCCGACCACAGATTTTCAACGCACGGGCGCGAAACTGCCTGCGTCATGCGCGAAGCTTGCGTGACCACTTCCAGTACAGTGATCCTATCCCGTATGTTTGTATCACATATGAAGTGCCGACTCATATCGTTCAGCAGCCAGCAATGAGACCTGATCGTAAACTTATGCTAGACTCCGGCTGGAATCACAGTCCACAAAAAAATAAACCAAGCCTTCCTGGAGCCAGTTCAGAGCCAAAACATTCTGGAATCGGCTGCCATACTTGGCCACCCCTGGACATGATTGTGGAACTTAAACGGCCCGGACCAAAACAGCGTCTAAGCGACGTATATTGTACAAAGGCACCGACTCAGCTCACCAGGAAGCCGAGCACCACACACACACACATACAGTGCGGCCGGCTGTCGAGTCGGCTGCGCTCGGGACGGTCGTGGCACACATGGCTGCCGTGACCACTGGGTCACGAGGTCACAGTAGGAGGGACGGTCCCCCTGTCAGCCTGTGACCGGACGCTGCAGAACATAACCGGCACAACTCTGGGAGGCGCGCGGCACGACCGGGCGCTCCTGCCCCGCACACGGACAGCGAGGAGCGCGGACACACCACGGCCAGCGGCGCGAGTCAGGCGGCTGATGACAGGACCGGGCGCTCCCGCCCCGCACACGGACAGCGAGGAGCGCGGACACACCACGGCCGGTGGCGCGAGTCAGGGTCGAGCCGCCGAGCTGCGGGTGCTCATCACAGCACATGGCCTCGGAGCGGCGCTGGGGCCGGACTCACCATGACGGGACCCCGAACCGCTCCATGCGCTTCTCCTGCTCCGACAGGTCCTTCTGCACCTTCTTCCGCATGTAGAAGATCGCACAGTCGCGGCTGGCAACGAACGG